AGTCCCGGGTTCGATCTCAACCTCAGCTTTCAAGCATGAGTATGATACCAATTTTCACTTGAGATCAATTATGATGATCAATTTGATATGATCCTGAAAAGATCCTATCAAAAAGAATATCTGCAAAGACTGCAGTTACCAAATCAAGACTCTTGCACTATATATTTGCATGAATTTTAATCGTCCTAATCTAAAAATGCTGCAGTTACCAAATCAAGACTCTTGCACTATATTTTGCATGAATTTCAATAGTCTTCCATTAATTTGGAATTAGTGAACATCTCATTTTCCTGATATTGCTAGAATATTTAAATTTCAATTACATTTCTTTTTCAGTATGTGGTTGGATTCACCTGGGCAGCTGTATTAGCAACATTGCTTGCTGTAGTATTAGGTGCACATCCCTTCTATAAATTAGATGGAAGTTCTACTTTGAGCCAAAATGTGGCATTTCTTTCCTTGCACAGATTGGCTTGGGGAATCTGTATTGCTTGGATAGTCTTTGCATGCAAAAATGGATATGGAGGTAATAAAGGATACATATGCATATTTATAATAAAAAAATTGTTATAAATATGTGAATAATATGAGATCATATCTGGTCAATATGTGATCAATACGAGATAGCACCAAATTAAAAACTCTTTTCGAAGAAAAAACTGCACTCGATGTGAATCACGTTTAGTTAATAATTAGTATATAGGAAACGCACTTTACATATGATTTTTATCTACTATGGAAATTACTTGCCCTATTTACGAATGCATAAATCTGCAATTAAAAGATAACGACAGTTTTTTTTAAATGTTAAATTTATATGAAGAATTTTTTCAAAATATTGACAACCATTCTGAATTTGTGAATCCAATCTTTCTTATCTGAATTTATCATACATCAATCATTTTTAGTATCATTAGACACATAAGCAATAGGCGAATATATGAAATGTAATAGCTTTTTTTATGAATGATATGAAAATAATATCAGACCTATTAGATAAATTCTAATAATAAAATATCATAAAATACATATGTATTAACCATTGGGTTACCATCTAAGAATACGAAGAAAGGAGAAGTTTCTGCTCAACAGCTAAATTTCAGTTACAATTTTCTAAAGTGCTTAATTTTATTACCATTCCTTCAATATTCTACATTAATCTTCAATCAATAGATAAAACCACCTGCAAATCAATCAACAAGTATGCCAATCATCTGTTAACTACATAAAATACATTAGACAATTTTACTTTTTATGAATATTTATTATATTTTTCCATATCTAGGTCCTATCAACTGGTTCCTATCACTAGGATTTTGGCAACCTATAAGCAGACTATCATATTCCCTATATCTTGTGCATATGGATGTTCAAATGATCATATGGATGGCCACAAGAACTAATCTAAACTTTTCGGATGCAGACTTGGTAAAATAATTAATTTAGATTTTATCACTTGATTTGGTGACACAATAAATTTAACAGTATTTTTTAAAATTTCAGTTTATAAATTTTGCAAGTGATATAACTTTAGGATTGGCAGTTGCCTTGGTTTGGTCATTGACGTTCGAATCGCCAATATTGATTTTAGAGAAACAATTATTAGGCAGAGGTAATAATGATAATGTATAATTTTCATTAAAAATATACGAGATTTTACTATATATTATTATAACCTTTCGTAAATTTTTTCCCTTAATTAGGCGGAAAAAGAGAAGCAGTGCAAACGCGCCATGTCGAAAATGGTTATGAAAATTCTGTTTATAGTAACAAAGATCAAAGAGCTATATTTAGTTGATTAAGGTATCATCATTGTAATAATTAGAATACTTTTAAATTTAAGATTATTTAACTATTATTATATTTAACATAAAGAATTATATTATATTTATTATTATATTATTGTACCAATAATGTATTGATAAGTTGAGTTAAGGTATTAACTCGTTAAGTAGTACAAGACAATTTAGAATAAGATCATTATTATTATCACGATAATGTTCATTTTTATACAAAATATATTTAAATAGCAAATTTATATTAATGAATTAATTTTATATTTTTATAAATCCTTAAAATCTTAAAAATTCAATAAAATTTGGAATTTATTTGCAGCCTTTACATTGTTTCTCCGATTTATTTATTATTAAATATTTTGAAGAATTTTCTATGATCACTTCCATAGCAACACGGCATTCCAAAAAACGAAACTTATATTCAAATCCCATATTAACATAAATTACAATACTGTCGCCTATATTTGCAAATGCTAATTATTCAGATTCGAAGTAAATGAATACGAATTGTGTTAAATGATTCCATTCTTATAATTTTATAAGTGTGAAATCAACTCTAATGCAAAATTTCATTGTCATTTGGAAATTGTAAATAACTACATCAGAACATATATGTGATACAACTGCGTAAATATTTATTGCATTTGTGCCATCGTGCTGACACAATAGTACTTCTCATATAATAGAAATTCACGGTATTTCAGTTATACATAAAATGTGTACGAACACCTGAAGAGTACTATTTTTCAAAAAAAAAAAAATGCATACCGCGACTCAAAAGAAATTTTTGTATTGGCATTGCCACTTGTAACATTTTCCATTTGGGGGCACGTGAGGTTTTTAGGGGAAGGGGGGAGTTTGACAAAAATCACAAAATACCACGTGGGGGAGGGAGGGGTATTGTAAAATGATACGTGTATAATTATTTTTTACCAGAATTTAAAAAAAAAATCCAACATTTCAAAGAAATAATGAAAAAATTTACAATTATTTATACAAGAGACGGGGGGTAATTTTGAATATCACTACGTATCACCAAAGCGAGGGGGGTCCAAAAATCCTTAAAAAATCAATCACGTGAATAATGGACGCCCCTTTTCATACCAAATACTTATATATATATATATATATATATATAGTGATCTTTATTCAATGATTTTCCAATAAATTTTTATACATTTTAATTAGGATTTTTAATATCTTTTATTTTATTACATATTTTAATAATAATAATATTTTAATAATTATATTTCAGGTTATAACGAATTAGTGCAATTATATGCTTTCACAACTTTTTTATATTTTGAATCTCTTCTCATCAAATATTTGCATTTCTTCTGATGATTTTCAAGAAATTATTATTATATTATTCTATGAAATCCAAAATGCGTACTCGTTTATAAGTTGTTATTTCCAAATAATATTTTGTATTGTTATATATAATTATTTTCTTAGTAGTGTTAATTTATTACTATTTTTGTTTTGACATCAATTTGTATTAATTAGGAGCGATGTGTGAATTTTACACACGATAATTAGATCTTTAACATAAACAAACTCTTCTAGAAACTAATCAAATAAAAAAATACTATGTGGCAGAATTTTGAAAGATTATAAATTCAGATTTGAGCCAGCCATCGTGTAATGGTGAAGGACGTGGAATAGTAAATCCCCAACCTCGGTCAGCTTGATATCAAGTAGAATAATATTAAATGTATGATTTCAAGTGAAAATAGCCTTTAGGGGTTATTTCTGGATAAAAATATAAAGTCAAAACTACTTTGAATATAGTATATCAAACCATACACCAAGATATTAAATCAATTACTGAATATATCGTTTTCCAAAAATAATTAAATATTATAGAATTACTGGTTTTTAGATTATATAAATAATTATTAAGCATGTTTCCGTTGATTTGTTATAATTTATTGAGTTTCGGCGTTTTTGTTTTCTTATAATAAATTCTCCTAGTTTTTAATTAATTTTACCTAGCAATGTCGGTACAAGCTTCTATTAAATGTCTTCACATATTTTGTATTTCAAGACCACAGATCTATTGTCTTATAAATTATAACTAATGAAAGAAGCCCTAAACTTTTAATAAAATATTATAACTTCAATAAAATTAGAATGGCTTAATAAGATTGTTTAAGCAATGCACTTGTAAATTTTCTTTCTTCTTAATTGCCAATATATTTTTAAAGTGCAATAAAGTGCTGGTTAATAACGATAATTTATTGCTAATAGTCAATTTGATATTTATAATGAACAGTAAAGTTGTATGTAGATATTTTTAACCGGTGATTGTTAATTTATTGCACGTGTTATCAAACAATTAGATAATTAGAACGTTTATGGATGAACTTTAAATTAAAATTCTATTAGTACTTTTTAATAGTTCTTAGAATAAATAATATCTCTTTATATAATTCGATAAACACAGGATTAACACAAACATTTGATTTGGTTATTAAAATTCTAATATTTCAATCAAATTGCCTAATCAGAAATAATAAACTACGTCTGTGTCAAACAATTGCAGGATTAAAAAAGTAATAAAATAAAAAATATTTCACAACTCAAGAAATAATAACAAATCTACAGAAATATGCTCTTTTAGTTTACGATTACAAAGAATTGATTATTTGAACCTAATTAATTACAGATTATTTTTATTTAATTAAATGGATCAATTGAAAAATTTCTTCTTCAAAAATTAATGCTATTTAAAAAGTCAGATATCTTATGTTTATAAAGGGGTTTCTTATGAATAATATCATTATCATTAGAATTTATGTGAAAACAAACTAGCAAATAGAGGATTTTAAAAGTATAAGATTTAAAATATTAACCCTTCCCACACGGATGCCGCTGCTCCGGCGGTAAAATTCATATAAATCTTTGAATTCGCGAGTGGAAAGTGTTAAAAATAATAATTGATCATCATACAATTATATTGTATATTTGAAGTGGAAGTAAAACAGGGGTTTTCTACAATTGTCATTTATTGTGATTTAACTATATTTTCTTTAAATTTACTATATAGATGTCGACTGAAGACAGTTATAAATTATATGGTGAAATAAAAAAAAACAAATAATTGTTATTTAAAACCATTAAACAAGTTGAAGTAGAATGCGCTGACAACTAATTCTAAGCTTTTATTAATTAATTATGAATTAAAATTTATGATTTACTCACATTTTCATTATAAATTCGTCGAGATCACTTTTCGCAAACTATATAAATTCTTCCACAACTTCCCAAACAAAAAACTACTAAAACGTATATCACAGCGCGTATTCACTTTCCAATAATTACCAATTCAACATTTGATTCGAAATTAGAATAAATTCGAGATTTTTACGGCGTTGATACACTAATATTCATTGCAGACGGCGGAAGAGTTCTGTATCTGATGATAATTTGCAAAAAGTTGAATTTTTTTTTCAATAAAAAATTGAATATTTCGAACCTTCCGCCTCAAAGCAATGAATGTTTAGTGTTATGAATGACACTGATAAATGTAATAGCCAAGTGTATACTGGACAGCAAAGCAAGTGTATGGCGTTAACACAATTTTAGCGAACGTGCGATCATTCAGGGCCGTATTCATTAATGTAATATTAGATTTTTTACCTGTCCATCAAATGATTACGAATGCTATTATTGTATTTATATCACACAGGTGAACAATTCCAATTAAATATGGTAGGTTTATTTATTTTTATACATTCCAATAAGGGGACGTCCATTAATCACGTGAGCGAGTTTTTAACGATTTTTAGACCCCCCCTTGGTGATATTCAAAATCACCCCCCCTGCCCCGCCAACATCAAGTGTATTTTTAGTTAGGTGAAAAAACTGTAAAATTTTTGATTTTTTTTTGAAAATGTTTGAACTTTAAAAAAAAAATTAGTTAAAAAATAAATACTTGCGATATCTTACTACACCCCTCTTTCGCCCACGTGATATTTTGTGATTTTTTGTCAGATAATGATCAGATTTTTAGCATTTGGTAATCTAAAATAATTTTGTTTTAATAAGGTATTTTTCTTACTGTACTTTTTTACCTAGTATTGTTTCGACAAGGCAACCCAATGGTTGGCTATCTAATAGTGATGTGCATATATGTTACAGCAATGCCCCCGAAAAGTTCTTTTCACTTCAGACTATATATATATATATATATATATATATATGTATATATATATATATATATATATATATCTATATCTCAACCTAATATTATGTACTGCTAGAATCTATAATAAGTACATAAATTTGCATACAATATTTGTTCAAACTATAAAAAATGTCAAGTACTGATTTTTGTACATGACCATATTCTCTAAACATAAATTAAGTGGACAACCTTGATATTGAGAATATTCACAAAAAAAAACTCTGGTCTGCGGAAAGTTTTAAATCTTCAGTTTTCTTGATTATAAATACCATTTTTTCTATCTAAACTGCATCTGGCAGAGATGATAAATTCAATTTTTAATTAGAGCCCTTCGTGGTATAATGATTAATAAAGCCTTTGGTGATATAATGGGCTAGAACATAGAAGCTCCAGATTCAATATCAAACCTCCTCGATATCAAGCAGTATGATATCAAAATTTCACTTGAGAACGAAAATTATTTGCTTTATTATAGAGTGGTTGACCGCTGGAAAAAATATTAGGTTAGGATGTACGATTGCATCCACAGTAAAAAATAATAATTATAAAAAATAGTTTCAATGTTGTTCAGTACAACATTTTTTGCCATCCATTCCAAGTCATATTCTAATATCCAAGAACAAGAAGAATCTCTGGTGTACAAAGACCTTTAAATCATCAATCTAACTTCCAATCGTGCTGCGTTTATTATGACAATAGATTAATCGTGTTTACATTTATTATCAAATGCTTTTTGTGATTATCGTTTGATATTGACATAATAAATATACAAGCTGGCTCAAATTGAAATATCGGCTATTCATCATCCAGGTACTAATTTAGTCAAAATTATACAATTTTTCCAATATCATTACCGAAATTAAATTATTGACTAGACGCAATTGTTAAATAATATTTGACTCTTTGGGAAAGATCGAAAATATATATTATATTAGTTTAAAGAAATATCTCGAACTTATGATTATATATTTTTTATAATAAATAATTGGTATAACTATAATTACGTTAATAGTTTTAGCAAAAATTTCAAGGTCCATAAAAATAATTCTGATCAACTTAAGATGAAAATTGTCTAATATATTTCCAGGCTAATTAATATAGATAAAAATTATAATATATGTTCATTGCTATAAAATATATGAAACGCTATTTCCAAAATTAAAAGATTCTGCTTCCTCAGTTACATATAATATTTTAAGATTAAATAAATAAAATTAACAATAAATCTTGCTAGGTCTTACACTGGTTATGAATATATATTACAATATACTTAAAAAGATTATTATATAACCATATTATTATTTATGGTTAAAATAAAATAAATAAATTTATCAAAATATTGCAATTTTTTTAAGTAAAATGTTTTCTTATTTTTATCTAAATCATATAAAACCGCGCAATAAAATCTTTACTTAAATCGCAAATAAATAACAATGCAACTTTTAATCTTTTAAGCTCATTACAAATCATTTAATTGACCCTAATTAAGGACATTTTCCAAATTATACAAAAAATTACGCTGATAATTGTGATAAGAATATTGTTTTGCTATTATCAAGATCAAGAGGAATTATGAATTATCTCGCGAATGAAAACAATGTCTTTTAATTTTAAGGTCAAACAATGTGTGTACCTTTCGAATGTATTTAAAAAAAATTTGAAACACATTTTTTATTCGAATTTATGCATAATATTTTCTTAAGAACATAATCAGAGCGAGTTTAACTTTATAGTCTTGCAAACAACTTACAAGCATTTGCATTAAAGAAAGATTAAAGCAATATTATGAATTTTAATTTCTAAAGTTACTAGTTTCTTCAGCGAAATAATAATAATAAGATTATTCATAAAAGAGAAACATTATGTGCATTCTTAAATTTTTTAAAAATTTCCATAAAACTACACAATGCCTGGAAAGGCATTCAGTAATTTTGGTGGTCTTTGTATAGAGTCATTATTTTAAAATATTACCCAGCAAAGTGGTTGAGGTAAAGAGAATAATAGGTAAGAATATTACATCATCTTCAATCTACACATTATAAATTTAACTAAGTTTAGATTACTTACTCAAATCAATTTAAATCAAATATAACTCAGTAAATCGCAGACCCTCCGGCGACTGCCTCAGGTCTAATCTCTTGACCACGTTAAGACTGTTAAGCATAATTAAAAAAACTTCAGATACCAAAAAGCACCTCTTGGATTTATTTATTTTTAGATATCACAATTCTTCTACTGATTATTACATAACATAATTAACTTTTGCAAATAGACATAATACGACGTAGCGTGTTTTTTCTTCACCACAATCTAGAAGTCAATGCCGTTCATTTGAATAAAATTATTGATATACAGATGGTAAATTGATTGGCAGGTTATAATTTGATTTGGTTCGTTCTAATTTGAAAAAGATACGAGCAAATTATACATCTAAAAATACACGCAAGATTTTATATTATATACTTAGTGCCATATTTTAGCTCGCACCAGAACGATGGGGACTTTTCAGATTTCTTTTATAATTGTATTAAATATAAATATATGGATATAAAAATATGTATTATTTATTATTATGAGTTTCCAGGTTATCTCGAGTGATGCATTTTTAATATTTTCTTAAGTAAATAATTTAATAACCTAGATAAAAGTACAAGAAGCATTAACCTATTTTATACATTTTCTGAAAGTTTCATTACAACGTATAAAATTATACAAAAGTTATTCAGTAGACCCCAGGATTTTCTTTTTACGTGATATCTTTTCATTAAGTTTCATTTATCTTTTTGCGTCACGTTTAAAAAGTGCAGAAGTCCAAAAGATTTATAACAGAAGATAGTATAAACCATAATGCTTTTATGATTATATTTCAAAACATTTTTATTTAGATTTAAGATAATTCGCTTTATCTGTAAAAATAGCAATAAAATGCAAGTCAGTCGCTATTAAAGATTATCTCATAGAAAATCAAGAGCGAAGATCAAGATAATTTAGTGATGATTATTTTTTAATATATGGGAAAGATAAATATTTTGATATAGTAATATAAACGACCACTTGAAATAAACAAATTAATTAATTTGAATGAATGAATGAATAATTAAAAAATGCATTTTTTGATAACAGTATTTTAACAATACCTGAAGAAGAGTATCCCACATCCCACAATGAATGAAATATTTAAAAAATAAAATAAATTTTTTAAAAATGTTTTGAGTGAAAAGAAGGCTTCAGTTCATAAATATAAAATCTTTTAAAATATGCATATATAGATGCAAGTTATAGTATTTCCCAATGATGCATAAAAATACACATAAACTTAAAAACGTATATTTATACTATTTTTTGCGCACAATTTCTGTTAAACAAAGACTACAAATTTCCCAGCAATATATATTCAGTTACATATATGATTTGACCGAGACCTTATCTTATCAAAATGTTAATGCATTTTTGCATAATTACTTAAAATGCACGCCATATATCTTTTATGGAAGCAAGCAAATAGTATCATCGGTAAACAAATAGTAAAACTGCATGCACGCAGTAGTTATTATAAATAATATTAATTAAATTATATAGTTATATAGAAATATTAAGAAAATTATAAACCGAGAAACACATACTCTTGGGAATTATATAGAATTACCACAGGTTTTAATTGGTACGAAAAAACAAGGTAATTTTCTGAAACATTAATGTAATTTTCATTATGCAACTGCAAGAGACTGCATTATTAAGAGTTTGTAATTACCTTTGTGTATATTGTAAAAGGTATAATAAATGACATCAATGTATATTAATATATTGTTATTGAAATCGCCATTGTTAAAGATTTTTTAATAGTTTCAAGCAATATTTTTAAAAATTTATTTATTGACTACTGGGACTTAAACAATTTTTTGGTAGCTAATCAAAGTATAATTCTTGTCTAATAATGTTGATAATTAATTTATATCAATTTATTATTATTGTATCATTAATTGTGTCTATTAACGTATATAGTTTAATTTATATTTATTGCTTGAAAAAATATATTAAAATAATTTTTTAGATTTTTCATGCTCATATATGTTAGTCTAGCTATATCATTTTAATTTTAATATATGCATGGGATATAAAAAAATCCTATTTGCCTCATTTTGATTTAAGCCTAAAAAAATATCAATATTACAAATTTGACAAATTTGTTAGAAAAAAGTTATATGTAATATGTATTTAATATTTATTCATTAACAGTAAACATAAGTTTGCAGTAGTCATTAGTACAGAAGACTGTTCCATCATAAATATATATTTTTTTCCAAAAATAGAGAGTATCATGGAAACGATATATCAAAATGAAAATTGCACGAAATGTTTTATAAAATATACATAACAGAATTATTATTAATTATTAAGAAATAGTATAAATTATGAGTCGGAGGACGGTCCATTTGGGGGGTGTCCATTAATCACGTGATCAATTTTTTAGGGATTTTGGATTATTTAAAATTTTGTGATATTTAAAATTATCCCCCCTCCCCCTCCAAACATCACGTGTATTTTTAGTTATGCAAAATTTTTGGAATAAATTTTACGAATTCATGAAAAAATCGTAAAATTTTGAAATTTTTTAAATTCAGGTAAAAAATAAATACACGTGATATCTTACTAGACCCCTCCTTCCTCCATGTGATATTTTGTGATTTTCTATCAAACGCAGAATAATTGATAAAATTTAAAATGCAATAAAATAAAATAAATTCTGTTACTTGTTTTTTGTTGCAATTTGTGTAAAATTATGTCAAATGAGTGCTTGTCCCAATAGAATAAAAATAAAGGTATAATCAATAAAGTTTTATTGCAGATATTATTTGACTCACCAGGATGAGAAGACCTGGTTTCATCATATTACTTTTATTACTTATATTAAATAAATTATCGATATGTCAAGGAAAATCGATAATGCAGTCTCAAGCAGTTTATTACCAAAATAATCAAGGAGTGGCTGCAATTACTACAACAGCCAATGGTAATAATTATAAAAAAAAATAATTATTTGAATCAAAATGTTTTAGTAGAAATAGAATATTCTCATGTTGCATACAGAAATTATTATTCTCTATCAAAATGTAATGAAATGGCAAGTTTTGTTGCAGATGTGTAGACATAGCCATAGTAGTTCAATTTCAATATTCAATATTCAAATTGAATATTGACTGAGAGACGTAGAAACATATCAATGCACAAGCAAAATGTATTCACTAAATTACAATAAATTAAAGAATGCGAAAATTACTTAACTAATTATTTATAAATTTAATCAAATGAATTATAAGATCATTTTGTGATTAAGATAAGATTACTCTATAATGGGTTATAATGCAATACATTGATTTTTAATTGTTATTCTATTTTTTTGAGCAATTTTATTAAAAAATTAGAAATTTTTCAGGTACTGTAATATGTGGAGGTCTTAAATGTGTAGAAGGTAGCAAAGGCTGCAAAGTAGACATTCAGACAACATATGATAACAGATTTATTCTAACAACTCGTGAATGCTATGACATAAATGGTAAATAACTATTTTTTTCAAATTTAATTTATTTATAAAATTTAACAAATAATTCTTTCCCTATAGGCAAAATTATAATGAGCGACTCCAATACAGAATTGAATCCAAACCCAAGTACTAGTTTTAAAATCACTTCTGTTTCTATGAAGATTAAGAAGAAAAAACAGCACTCACAGACGCAAATTGTAGTTCAAACATAACATTTTGAAAAATTAATTTAAAAAAAATCAGTAGATAAAGAAAACAATTGCTTTTTTCTTTTATCGTTCATACCTGGTTATCTAAATGACTATTTTACGTTTTAATTTTTTAGTGCAAACTAGTGGTGTATGGCATCGTTTATATAAGTGTCGTGTAAAATATTTGTGTCGGTTCTCAGATTTACACTATTGTTAGTCCGAACTATTAACATTGATTCTGCCATGCTCCGTTTAAATATTAAAACTTATTATTATTATTAACTTATATAACTTAAAAGAAGAATGAAGAAAAAAAAGTGGAATAAAGCTGAAAGTTAAATAGAATTAGGAATTTCAAAAAAGAGCAAGAATTGAAGGAAATAAGGAAAAGAAAAATTAAGAAGAATATAGAATAGGATACATAAATAGATGGAAAATGATATAAAAAAAATTAGAATGTAATTAAATAAGTCTTTTTCTTGGAATAAGATTTGGGGATTGTTAAAATCAAACTTATGGTTGTTGATATAAGGATGATCCACAAGTGTACTTTCAAATTTTTTGTTATCTATTTTTTTGCATTATAATTCATGTTGCCTGAGTCTTTTTTCTAAGTTCTGGCAAGTCTGGCCTATATGACTAACAATAGCGTAAATCTGAGAACCGACACAAATATTTAACACGACACTTATATAAACATCATTAATAATTTATAATTTTTTCATTTATCTTATTCTCTTCAATAAATTAATGTATATTTCATATTTATCGATTTTTGTATGCGAGCGCATTCCTTTTCTTTTATGTTACCCAACCTGCCTCCGTTAGATACTTCAGATTTGTTTCGAATATTTCTGTGTCATATGTGTCTTAGCACGGTGTCAAGCATTGACTGAAACAATTGTCACTTGTCAATGCAAGGAATAGTTGGTGTTTTTTATATTCAAAAGTTAAATATAGTTCAAATAAAACATTAAAGAATGTATCGTATATAAGTAACTGTTTTTTGAAATTACACTGAAAATGAGGCACACCATGGTCTCGAAAAGTTTGTAATTATTAAATAAAGTTGTGTTAAAAATCTGAGTGTTGCTTTGTTAATATTTAACATTTAATATTCGTTCCACTGATGTCACAAATTTCTATAATATATATATATATATATATATATATATATATATATATATATATATATATATATATAGTTATGTGGGTAATTGGTTATTAGGGTTTTTGCAGGATTTTATGAACAATTAGGAAGAAAGGAATAACTTGACAGTTTTTAATATATTTCCATATATTTCCAAAAATTAACTGTTTGAAGTTACTGAAAATATGAAAATATTGCACAAAAAGTTGAAATTTAATTGAAAAATATCAATGTAAGTAATTATCATAAGAATTTTATATATGCATAAATATATTTGTTTGTGTTTAACACAAGTTGTTATTTATTAACGTTGTAAAAGAAGTGCACTTTTTTGAAAAAATATTTTTTACACAATATTTTTGTATAAATGGTTAATAATTGAATTAGGGTTTTGTACAGCTTATAAAATTTTCTTTGTTATGGTATACATTAATGTATACCTTACTTAATATAATACATTCATATTTTGTTTTCAAAAATTATCGTTATCGTTTCTACGCATTTTTCTTTAGTCTTTTACGTCATTTATCTTTAATAACTTTTAGACCATTTAATGTAAACGAATGTTTATTTCGGGAAATGTGTGTACAATTAAACAATCTACAATATTATCTAACACGCTATAACGAACTATAGCAACTTTATATACTTTAAAAACTCTTTATAAAATATATTGCCATCAAAAGTTCATTTATCCATTATACTAGAGATAAGTAATGAGATGATGTTCTTTTACAATTAAGTAAATAATTTTAGGTAAATGTTGTTCTGCGACCAATCACAATGCTCGAAAATGACGTATGATTTTAGCGCTGGTTATGATTGGCTAGCTACTTAATGCTGTTCGTTTTTTTTCGTTTTCTTTCGACCCTTTCGGATTGTCCATAAATAGGGGTGCGCGAAGGAATTCGTGGCAGTCGTCGGCCGCGGCCGGCGCCAGCGTCACCTAGGGCGGCGCTGAAAGCCCCCGGGGCACCAGACCGGCGGCTCCCATCGGAGCTGGAGTGGTCAGGAGCCCCGGGGCATCCGCCGGAGGCTCCCGGCCACGGAGATTCCGTGCCACGGAGACTCCCGTGCACGGAGACTCCCGTGCACGGAGACTACCGTGCACGGAGACTCCCGTGCACGGAGACTCCGAGCCACGGGGAGACTCCCGGGCCACGGAGACTCCCGTGCACGGAGACTCCCGGGCCACGGGGACTCCCGTGCACGGAGACTCCAGGGCCACGGAGACTCCGGGTCATGGAGACGCTGGGCGTTGGAAAAATCCAATTCGAATACTGTAAGAATATAATTTGAATGTGCTGCGTCGGTTGCCGGGGGTCCCTGGCCGGGAGTCTCCGTGGCCCTGGAGTCTCCGTGCACGGGAGTCCCCGTGGCCCTGGAGTCTCCGTGGCCCGGGAGTCTCCGTGCACGGGAGTCCCCGTGGCTCGGAGTCTCCGTGGCACGGAATCTCCGTGGCCGGGAGCCTCCGGCGGATGCCCCAGGGCTCCTGACCACTCCAGCTCCGATGGGAGCCGCCGGTCTGGTGCCCCGGGGGCTTTCAGCGCCGCCCTAGGTGACGCTGGCGCCGGCCGCGGCCGACGACTGCCACGAATTCCTTCGCGCACCCCTATTTATAACCTATGCGAAAGGGACGAAATTAAACGAAAAAAACCGAACGAACAATATTAACTAATAACATACGTCATTTTCGAGCATTGTGATTGGTCGCAGAACAACATTCTAAAAATTTGTTAATATACTCCAATTAATATATAAAATTTATTTCTTCAGTAACAAGGATAAAATAAACGAAAAAAGTTTATCAAAGAAGCTCGAGTCTCTCAAGGAATTACAAATAGTATTATAACTCAACAAACCTTGATTTATAATGAAAAAAATAAATCGAAAAGTGGTCAAGGAATCAGTATGTAAACATATATAATGTTAAATATGAAATTAATTAGATGTAAGTGGCACTTTGCTTTAAGGCAAGTTGCATGAAAGGGGTAAATAATCAGCTTAATCGATAAGAATTGTTTTGCGAGCACATTTTTCGACATTTTTTTTTTAATTGTGGAAAAACTTATTTTACACATAAATTTTATTTTACATAGATGAAAAGCTTATAAAAATTCCTACATAACTGCGTTTAACGATTTTTAAGTTTCCGAACAAAATCATAACGAAAAAAATCGTCAAACTTTAAGTTCGTATAACTTTGCAAACAAAATGTTTGTACGTTTTATTAATATTTGATTAAAATGTGCAAAAATTTGTTAAAACACATAAAATTTGTTTTATATTGATGAAAAGCTTATAAAATTCTTCATACATCTGCATTTACCGTTTTTCAAATTTTAGAGTAAAAACATGACGAAAAAAATCGTCAAACTTTAAAATCTTATAACTGAACAAACAATAAATGGTTTATACATTTTGTGACACCTGTTTAAAATGTGCAAAAATTTGTTAAGCACATAAATCATATTTTACGTAGATAAAAAGCTTATAGGATTTTTATCTCTATTTATTATTATTTTCTCAATTTATAAAAATATATATCACATTTTGTTTACCATCTGAAATTACGATATAGTAACAGTTGCACAGTTGATGTAAATAATAAATTTTAAGCTTTTTTTTTTGAATATATATCATAGTAAGTATGTATAATACGATAAATATACTATGAATACTATACTATAATAAATGTACTATAACTCTATAAAATTATACTACAGTATCATAGTATAAGTTGAAATAATAAAAAAAAATATAATATAATCCTACATTTAATTTTTTTTAATACATTTAATAATTTTTATAAAATGTATTGTAACGATAATTCAACACCGTTTTCAAGATATAGGAATATCAGGACTGTTTTAAAGGACATCGTCAAACATTTTTAAAAACTTCTTGAAAATTAGCAGTAGCCAGAAACAAAAATAAAATCATAGTATATACTATCAAACATATAGTTAACAAATTATGTAGCATAGAATGGAATTTTAATCCATAATTTCATAAAAATTAATATAAATATTAAGAATGGTAAGAAATGGTAATATAAAACTATAGAAAACCTAGGACGATTTAGAAAAACCTCATCAATTTTCTTTCAAAAATATTCCAATTAAATCCAATGAATTCCAATATCCCAATTATTAATCGCCACTGATGAAATTTAAAGTATATAAAAGTTACAAAACTAAATTATCACTTACCAATTCAAGTTGGATTCCAAGGTTGGACACAATAAATTCTAGGTGTTTTAATTGAGTTTTTGCACAGAATCTGTAATAAGAAATTGTACGATTATATTAAAATTATGTCTTCAAACTGGATGTAAATCTTATTATATATAATGACTACTTGAATGTATTATTGCTTGCTAGCAATTCAGGCACATTGAAAATTCTGAACAAGTGATTTAAATTAGGTGAATACAGTCTTATGCTTATAAATGACTCTGGTAATATTTCTTTCAATATAAGTTTAAAGTGGATATAAGCTTTCATTTTATGTTAGAATTAAAAAAACCTACTCAAGAATTTGAAGTTTCAAAATAACGATGGTTGGCACAAAATAGAGCTGGAGCATACTGTTCCATATGAGAAAATTATCTTCCTTCTTAAGGAGTTATCCTTAAAAACCAACTACAAAGGCCATCTTTCCCAAACCATTTTCGTAGATGAGAAAATAGTGAAAATAAAACTTTTACTCAAATAGGAATTGATATACATATTTTATCTACAGATGGAATTTTCTATTTTAGATTAAATTGGAACCGTGTCAGGGCTTGCGAGGAAATTAAATCATCAACGCTTAATACGTATTGAAAATCTCTTTTATCTCAAATGTTTCAAGGGAAAAAAAATCTAAAATTTCATTTCCAGTCAACATTAAGGGATGAAGAATTTGCAATAAATGCATAATTTAATGTAA